ATGCACAAAGTATACATTATGTGAGACCGAATTTGATATAGGAGTTGAAAGGGAAATTGAAATAATTGATAGTGGGATGGATAAAAGGGATTGATAACATAAAGGGTATGATTGGAAGAGATTGACAACATAAATAGCTAATTTGGTAAATAAACAATAAGCAGTGCTAAATGCGTAGTATTATATGAGTTAGAGTGCTACGTAGGGTGATTTCTTTTTATAAAATTTATGGGTTCCGTTTCGAAGAAAAAAATATTGTGTCATTTTCACAACTTTTGAATTACTATTTTGGGGAAAAATTTGTATTGAATTATTAAAAAAAATCACAAATTGGGTAGTTCCATTTTAGAAAGAAAATTTTATTGCAATATAAGATTATCAATAAAAATTTCAGAGTGTTAATGGAAAAATTACAATACATCAGAAAATGTAGTGAGTTATAAAAATAAAAGTTCTATTTTAGAGAAAAAAATTGTTGTGTTATTTTCACAACTATTGTAATGTTGTTTCACAAAAAATATTTATATAGAACTATCGAAAAATATTCATAAGTTTTGTAGTGCCATTTTTTTAAGAAATAATAATAATGTAGTATCAAAACATAATTTGAAGTGCAGCTCAAGAAAAATACAGTAAATGCAACTTACAAAAAAATGTGCTCCCTCCGTTATCAAAAACACTTCTTCTTTCATTTTTTTCCCTTCCAACAAAATACTTCCACTTTCTATTAAAAAACCACTTTTACCCTTATTTTTTCATATCCTACCTATCACATCATACTTTATTTCTAATAATCTATCCATCACATCTTACTTTTACCTATCACATCAAGGGCAAAATTGGATGTCAACTACAATTTAATACTTCCTTATTTTTACACAAAGTCAAAAGAGAAACACTTTTTCCAGACGGAGGGACTAGTTAGTTATGAAGTTAATAAATTAGCTCTATTGTGTAGAATAATTTATTTTCTAATTATTACCATATTATTGGTTATTGAAAAAAACAATTAGTTTCACTCTAAAAACACTTAAATTTGGTATTTTTTCCAAAAAAATAAAATAAAAATACATTTAAAGAAATTAAAAAACGAAAAAGGGAGAATTTACCTAAAATAATCCCACCTTTCATTTATTTGCGAAAAACGGGCATTTTTCAAAATTTCCGTTAAGTGACCGTTAGTTTTTTAACGGTGACCCAAAACTCGCACACATGCAAAAAGGTGGGATTATTTCCGGTGACAGTGAAAAGTGAGATTATTTTTGAAAGAGCGCGAAAATGTGGGATTATTTGAGATAATTTTTCCTAATTTAAAAGAATGGAAACGTTTTAAAAATGACAAATTTTCTAATTAGAAAATTAGAAAATAAATAGATATGGTATAGTAAGCAATTCGCACCATTTAAAAACGAAAATAAAATAAATGGTAAGTTTTCTTAAATAAATTAGGTTAGTGTTCTAAAATAAAAGAGAAAATAAAATATTCCCTCCGTTCCCAATTTGATTACAAATTGCGGGTTACAGAATAAAATTTCTTACTTTTTGAAATCATTTTATTTACAAATTGATATATCAATAAAATATAAAAATAGAAATCACCCTAAATAGGACTAAAACATAGAGAAAAATACTAAAATAGAACTTTCATGTTTTTTTCCCGAAATAAGACTTTGCACTGTGGGAATGTGACTTTGTCCTGTGGTAATGTGACAGTGTACATGTGCAAATTACTATATTTTTTGGTAATGTATATGATTATGTATGGTAATGTAAGTCCTATTTCGGGAATAAAAACATGGAAGTCCTATTTTGGTATTTTTCAATGTTTTAGTCCTACTTTGTTCTTTCTCCCATATAAAAATTACATACTATTAAACAACTACGTCAAAAGTTCTACAAAACAAGAAGTGATAAGAATATTTTATTTTATCAAATACTTAATGAAATTGCGTAAACAAACAAAAGTTATCGAGAGGAGAGAAAAAAAATTGTACTTAATTAGTACGATTTAAATACGAAAATAAAATAAAAACTGCAAAATTAATATTAATACTATACTTTAAATACATGATTTTTTTTAAAAAGGTAAGTGTTCAAATTAGAAAATTAGAAAATAAATACGGAATGGTATGTCACTGCGATAAGCAAATGGTACCATTTAAACACAAAATAAAATAAATGGTAAATGTTCTAAAATAAATTAGTTAAGTGTTCTAAATAAATTAGAAAATAAAATAATTATTAAAACGATAAGTATTCTAAAATATATTAGAAAATAGATACGGTACGGTAAATAAATGATACCATTTAAATAAAAAAACAAAATAGAAAACTACAAAATAATACTATAAATTAATTATACAATTTACAAGCATAGTAACATGTAAAAATGATAAGTGTTATAAAATAAATTAAAAAATAAATATGGTACATTAAGCAAATGGTACCATTTAAATGCAAAAATTAAAAAATTATAAATTAATACTATTAATACTATAAGAATGGAAACATGTAACAATGGTATAAGTGTTCTAAAATAAATACTATTAATACTATAATTTACAAGCATGGATACGTGTAAAAATGGTAAGTCATCTAAAATAAAATAGAAAATAAATACCATAGGGTAAGTTAATGGTACCACTTAAATACGAAAATAAAATTAAAAAATAAAAATTCCAAAATAAATACACTAATATGTTGAATTATTACTTAGATAAGTCAAATTATTAAATTATTATCAAGAACAATATCTGAAAAATATTGAATTATTGTTACGGATTCTGGTATTTAGTCATGAAAAAGTGTATGTTTCAGTTTAAAGAGTAATAAATCACAATGGCTTGAAGATTCTGATATACAACGAAGTGAATGCTCACACAAATTATACATACGAGTGATGTAGTTTATAAAGAAGTCTTTCGAAATTTGTAAATCATTTTACTTTTGTACTTTAAAATAATGAAATCTCTATATTCCATTATATACCAATTTATATTCCTAAAAATGATCTTAAGTTAGTACCGTAACTATGACTCGTGCAACGCACGGGTGTGATACTAGTATGGCGAATAAGGTATTTCATCATTTATTTATTAGAGGTCGGTATTCATTATTATTATTATTATTATTATTATTATTATTATTATTATTAGGATTTTGCTAAGTCTATTTTAAAAATGAGTATATCAATTTCTTTCAATTAAACTTGCAAAATTTACACCAATGCCAAATTTACATTACTGAGCTGAGTGTGGTATTAGCAAACTTAAGAAAAATGTATGAATATAGTCATTTTTGGAGTGGATTTAGTAATACACTATATTATTATTATCATTAATATTATTACTATTGTTATTATTATTATTATTATTAGTGTAATCTAGATTACAATAAATAATAATAACCAGGAATAGTAAACCTATCTAGGGATTGTTCATGTTTATGTCCGAATTGAAAAAAACTGACCAAACCGGGCCGTTATTTGTTGTTTTATACACATTATATTAAAACGAGATTTTGCTAAATCAAAGTAGAGAGATGAACTTTTCTCCTAACTTGAGTTGTAGGAATCTCACTCCCTAGATCAGAATTCATGGAGAAATTCCCTCAGGTTCAAGGCCCAGCAGAGGCAGAAGCGTTGAGTCTTTGAACGTCTTTAGGTTGATCGAAAATAGAATGAATAGATACGACATTGTCCTAGATCGAGTCAATAATATTAAAAAAATAATCGAAATAGAGAGAGAAAGTGTTTGGATTAAATATTATCTATACTATCTATACAATATACAAAAGCAAAAAAAATCACGCCTAAAAAAAAGAAAAATCTGTTGAGATATTTTCCCGCCCAATGGGTCTTGCAATAACCACCATTGATTTGTCATTAGTGATTAATCTTAGCATTAGAAATGCATAAATAGAAGTTGACATTTTCGCCTTTTATAAGAAATCTATATATCTATATACTCTATTGGAAAATTAAAGAATGAGTAAGTTCTCTCTTTATAACTAGGGATTTTTCATATTTACTTGATGTTTATCAAATGTTATGTTGACGGTCCCTATTAATTGAGTACCATTTCACGTTTGATCCTCCAGTTTTTCAGTCTCCATGTCGTTAGACAAGGACTAGATGTGGAATGTACCCAATTAATAAGACCGCGAACATAATATTTGATAAATATGTACTAAATATGAAAAATCTCCAATTATGAATTATTTTCTATGTTTAACCAATTTTAATATATAAATTAATAAATACAAAAAGCGTATGATTGCAATTTATTTATAAAAAGTCAAAATTCGGAGTGTATAAAAATTAAAAAGAAATAGAAATTATTATTCCGTTTTAACAACAATACTTGGATAGAAAATTTATCCAACGCTGGAATGTATGCAACCTAACGTAATACTCCATAGTACGTATTCTTTTTTCTTCTATCTAAGCATTGTTGTTGCTAAAACGGAATAACTTCTAATTTCTTTTGGAAATAAAACTAAATTACAAGTAAAACATGGAGAGAGTACCAAAATAAGAGTTAATCCATAAGATCCAAATTTGTTCAAGAATAAAAAGACCCGTATTTGCCAAGTAGCTGGTCTTTTGGCTCAAGCACTAAATTTCACCCATAAATGTGGATTTATAAAAGCTTAAAGTGAATGCCTGATTCTTAATCTATATGACACTAGATTCACAAAGTTACACATAGTTGAGATCCCAATATAATTCATTCTTCACAGTACTTTGTGTTGATCTCAAATATTAGAGGGATTGTTGGAATATTTCAAATGAACAAATCCTTTAATACTCCGTATATTTTCTGAATAAGTTTCTTTAATTCAATAATTACTTAACCACATTCTATAATTCATTTGTTTTGGTTGTATGTGTAACTTTAATATATGGAATTTTTCATGCAACCAAAAAGTAATAATCACTAATTAACAATGGATGTACAATATTTTCTTAATTGTAGTGGCAGGATAGAAATGTATTAGGAGAGGAACACCTACATTTATTCTCCATTTCTCTCCAACCCAAACAACACAGAAAACCCACCATATTTTCTCTAGCTATTATTTCTCTCTATTTCTTCCCAGCTTTAGTTAAAATCCTAGTTTAAGTGGGAAAAGAAAAAAAACAAATGGGGTTAAAATTAAAGTATTAGTTTAATCTCTATACGAACGTCAAGCTGTGCTTTCTTTGTTTTCTTCGGTTGGAATACTGACAGAGGACTCTGGAGATGCCCGAGGCAGCGGCGTGTTGTACTTCCTCAGCATTCTCTCTCGGTTTTCTTTCAGCCATTCTTCTGCCTCCTGCTCTTTGAACCTTCGTCTACTGCATTTCGTGCAAGTTTTTTCAATTTCAGTCGCCATATTGATCAAGTTTATTAATATATGGGTTCAGTGACAATAAATATGCAGGTTACCATTTTAACGCGTTTCAATTAACATACTTTTAAAATGTGGATAAATTTCAACGGTGGTACTTGAACTTTGGACATTTTTTAAGTATCAAAACTTAATTTTCTATCAAAAAATACCTGAACTTCACAAAATATTTCCAAGAATTTTTTTAGCATGTTTCAGGTCATCTACCGGTCATTTTGATAGGTGATTGGGTAGCATTGCATGATGGGTGTGATCATACCAGTATCAATACCCGTCCAACTCACCTTCCACCTAAGTAAAATGACAGCTAGATGACCTAAAACCAGCTAAAATCTTTTTGTTGAAAGATTTGGCAAAGTTCAGGTATTTTCTTTACGAAATTGAAAAAAAAAAACGTCCAAAGTTCAGTACCACAGATGAAACTTACTCTAAAAAATGTGCATGAAGAAAGTGATGAATAGTTTGTAAAAATTACCTGAATCTAACTCGCTTGAAGATCTTGGCACCACTGGAAAGTCGAAGGAACGTTACATGGACACCTGGTTCAAATTGTTCAGTGACCTCCATTTGTCCAACACTTGCTACTACTCTAGGTGCCCCTGATTGATGATGGTGTATGCCCTCCTGAATGGAGGATCCATTGCTTTCATGTGGTGGAATCCCATAACCATCATCTGCTTGAGCAGAAGCATCTCCTGTTGAAGTGACTAACGAGGATTCAGGCTCGACGTTATTCAGAAAGGACTCTACTTGTGCCTGGATGGAGCTGATGGGGATCGTTTCGGCAATGTCAGAAGGCAGCTTCTCTCTCACCTCCTTCAACTGATCAAACAAAAGGAAATATTTTTTATGTATGAAATTCAATAAAGAATTTATTAGAAATAGTTTTAAAAGTGAAAAATCAGTATTCACGGTTTTCAAGTCTTTCATTGATGGTTTCAACTTTCAATCACTTCAATTGTACGAGTAGTTGTCAACCTCCACCGCCTGAATTGAAGGATAAGCAGAACCCATAAAACTCCTAAAATTAGTAACTTGGAAACAATAATTACCTGAGCATTAATTGATTTGATAGTTTCAATTGCAGTGTTACACTTGTATAATCTCTCTGTAGCAAGCGAAGCAGCTTTCTCTGCATTTTTCTTCATTTTCTGAATTTCTGTATCCTGAAGATCACTCTTCTGCTTTATATTTCTCACCTGCAAGAGGAAGACACAACAAAATGTAATAACCAGTAAAAAAAACATTGTTTGGAGCTTGTTGACTTCCCCAACCTTGTTTCAAATCAAACCAAGCCTAGAACCCGGAAAAAAACCACCAAACTAAATCTGAAATGCAAGCCCCTAAGTGTCTCATGCGAACAATCGTACCTGGATTTGAAGCTTGTTGACTTCTTGATTCAAAAACTCGTTTGTCGCCTTAAGACCATCAATGACACCTCTTGAAACCACAGGAGCTGGTGACCGTGGAGAACTCGGTCTTCTTGACGAGTATGGTGAAACAGGCCTGGAGGTGGATGGAGATTGCTGAGATAGAGATGAATGTGAAGGTGGCTTCATACCATACGGAAGAGAGCCAAACGAGCTTGGGAAAGCAATGTCTTTCAGTTGCAAAAGTGAAGGCACTTGAGAAGCTCTCATGAGATTATAAGAATCTGTTTTGGTTCCGGGCTTTGTAGATCTGACCTCAAAATACTTGGCAGGCTCCACCGTGGGGGACAAGAGAATCCTTGAAGTCCTAGAAGCTTCCGGCCTATCTGATCTACTGCCGCTATCTAACTGCCGAGACGGAACGGTCATTTTTGTGTAATGATGTGAGGGTTGCCCCTCAGAAGCCTTTTTTAGTTTCAAATAGCACGAGTCACAAACACGGTGTGGTTTCCCAGGTGTTGGAGCCAATGCAGCTTTCAAAGCCTTTTTGGAACTACAAGCATGACAATGAACAAGCCCACAGTTATAGCAGTTATGTCGCTTTCGGGTAAAACCAAATGCTTGCCGGCAACCTGTGCAAACTGACTGATCTGCTCCGGAAACCCATTTGTGAATACAAATGCTTGCACTATAATTCGATCCGCAAGCAATGTTTTTCACGTGCCTGTCTCTTAACCCCTCAACGAAAGTGGGAATATTACGATCTTCAGAATCACCATGGCCTAATCTCCCATTTGCACCTCTTCCCCACGTGAAAACCTCACTTCTTGAAGTCAAGACAGCTACATGGAAATCGCCAGATGCTATTTCCTCAACAAATTCGCCGACCAATTTGTCCTGAACGAGACATGGTACTTTCCCATCAGAATCCGGATTCCCAAGCTGACCATACGCATTGCTACCCATTGTGAAGACATGCCCTGATGTGGTAAGTGCAATTGTCATATTATGTCCACATGATATCTGGTGGATGTTATAGTCTATAAGAGCAGATACACAAGTAGGGACTAGATAGGGGTCCTTGTTTCCATGACCTAACCGGTTCTTATCCCCATCACCCCAAGTGAATAATTTTCTAGAGGCAGCATTGGTTGTGCCAAACTGATTATTGACTTCAACAATTGCTACAGTGTGCCATATGCCACATGCAACTTTAATCGTTTTGAGCCCATTCAATGACTGGACTTCCTTTGGGTACGGAACAGATTCACGGTTACCATGCCCCAAGACCCCAAAAGTTCCATCACCAAACGTGAATAGTTTCCCATTGATAGTAGCCAAAGCAAAATGCCACGTTCCACACGCAACAGACAGAACTTGAAGGCCTTCAAGTGCCCCAGAAACCCTCTTGGGTATCCAATGACTAACATCAGTCCTCCGACCAAGAATCCCAGCATTGTGGGAGCCATTGCCCCATGTGTATAAGTCGCCGGATTGGGACACTGCACAAGTGTGATGCTCACCACACGCAACAAAATCAACACTCGTAACTGCCAGAAACTCAACCAGGTGAGGCCGGCTAAAGTCCTTTTCAACTCCATGGCCAAGCCGGCCTCCAGCTTCCTCTCCCCACGTAAAAACCTCACCTTGCCTCGTGACAAGGGCGATATGCCTAACCCCACATGCAATTTGGTGAACATCAATGACCACATTGGATTCCAATGGTTTAGGAGTCAGAATGTCCTGTTTTATAGGAATTGGATTGCCACATGCATCTATTTCCGTTCCGTCAGACCAAACCTCCCCCCAAAGATAAACATCACCTAAAGATTCTATGTCATCTGCCCCAGAACCTCCACTTGAACAACTTGGAGTGCTTGAGACACTAATACGAAAACCATCTCCGCCTCTTACTTGCATCTTTGATCGTTCTGATCCAACATCTGAACTTGGAAAATATAAAGAAGTTTCGCGTGAACTGGAGTCAGTTGAGATCCGGTCTCGACTAATGCTAGATGTGAACTCTAATGTTGCACCAAATGGATACCCACAATCGTGTAACTACAATAATAAATACAAGAATATGTTACATGCTTGAAATTTCATATCCATACCTGAATGGCATGTATATATATTCCGTATGAATCAACATCAAGTTTTCATTCATAATTAGTACCCTCTAGAAAATGGAGTCAGAATACAAACGCAAACAGCTCTAAGAGCATCACTAATAATTCCCCTCTTATTCCTCTCCATATCATCATTTTTAATGCCACATCATTTTCTACTTTCACTTTCCTCACTCCACTCTAATCATTCCTCTATTTTTCTTCTTTTTCTTTATTATAGGTGGGCCCATATGTAAAAGAATTTAGATTGAAATATGCATGGGAAATGAGGAAAAGCTTGAACCGTATGACATAAAAAAAAGAAAAAAGATTAATTTTTCTCTCAACCAATCAGGAACCCTCTCTCTCTAGATGCATATTATTCCCCTCCCCACCACACCCCCCTCACTTTCCCCTACCCTCTCTAATCATTCTCCCTTGCCACATAGGCTATTCCCCTCTCTATTCCCTCCCACTAGTGATGCTCTAATGAAATTAATATGAGTTTCCAAAAAGCAATTTTTCTAGTAGAAATTTTGTATTCTCGTCAAACTGAACAAAACTCTAGATACATTAGTTTTCCTAGAGCAAATGCAGGGACAGAGAACTCAGAAGCTTAGAAATGTATCACTGGCTAAGATTCCAAAAAGATGGTCACAGAAAGTTTTAAAAAGTTACTGTGCAAATCTACATACGATGATTTTAAAAAAGACAATAGGTAAAAGCCATCATAAAAAAAAATTTATGTATGAGCAACAATGAGAGAACTTCATACATCTGAAATATCACTCCGAGTACGTCTACTGCAAGCTTGGCCAGTCGGGATCAAGGCTGTCAACCCAGCAATCCAAGCCTCTACTTCCTCGTTGTCCTTGCAAATCTGCAATATGAGAAAAAATTTAAACTAAAATCCCGATTTCTTTCTTTAAGTCCGTTCAGAATGTAAACTTAGAGTTTATACACCTCGTACAGTTCACTAACCAGATCAAGCGACCTTTCACCGTTGTTGTAGATAAGGGAAAAAGATAAGTAGTCTTTCTCTGGACGAAGGAATCTTTTAAATACAGGCTGCATATACAATCACAAAGTAAAGGTTCAACAGTCTATCTGGAGAAGTTATTCATAAATTAATATCATCAATAAAAAAGGAATAACTTCAGTCTACATAATCACCAACCCACACAAAAGGGATTTGCTAACTCACTGTTCTCTGCCCAGGAATAATTTTTGAAACTGAAGCTAGGGTTAGATTCCTCTCTGAACCATGTGAGTACCAGATCAGTGTCTTCTCATCCTGAAAATAGTGTCAAATTAACATTCTTACGATTAGAATTGCATGATTGCAGAAGTTTCAGGTTTTGACTAGCACACAAGAAGCTTCTCTCTATTAGAAGAGTTTTACCACTGAGATTTAGATTATTTGAAACACAATTTGAAAATTTCACACTTAGGCGTATAGCAAGCTGTGTTTAAACTTAGTCAACTAGTTCCCGAGATTATGTCTAGCAAGTAGCATAGAAAGAGTACATTAGCAGAAAGCAGAACAGCTGGTTTATCAATTGGTTAAAATCTTCAGACTTTAAAAAAAGATGTGAACATCCAATGGAAAAGATATCCAATGCAATTTATTTTTTCTCAAAAAATTATAATGAAGAGGAAAAACTCCTTGCTGGCATTGGTGTATTACCTTGTTAATAGTATATATGGAGTATAAGAATGGATAGGAAACAGAAATCTGAAACAAGCTGTATTTCTTCATTTCAATAAAAACCAAGTTAGAGTTTATTTGTTGGTCTACATACCCTCATCCATGCATAAATAGAAGCTTCATAAACTAAATCCAGACACATCTGTTGAACATTGTAACTATGGGCCTTTATACCCATTGATCACTGTGTTAAACTACCTCCGTGACTCCATCCCACAAAGATCTTTTCGCTTTGACTTCATGAAGTTAAACATAAGTTTTGAAAAAATGAAAAGTGTAGTAACAATGTGTATAGAAGAGAGAAATCTTTGAACCACATGCCCACATATTCCTCTCCTTTAAAGGAAATGAGAAAAGTGGGAAGATAATTCTGGGACTTGCCAAAAAGGAAAGCGAAAAGATCTTTACGAGATGGAGGGAAAACTAAATTGGCATAATTCACCCTTGTGTTAATTGAATAATTATTAATGACCCCTTTGCTTTAAATAGGTGGCATTATAGGCCCCTATTTCACAACACCATCATACACACGCACCAAAAATGAGTAAGCACTCTATTAAATCAAGTAAAGACAACTCTCTCATCTTCTTCATTAAAAAACATTGTACTCCCTCCGTCCCTGAGTATTTGTCCACTTTTGACTTTTTTTGTCAAAATTGATAAAGTTTGACCCCAAATTAAATAAAAATGATATTAGATATTGATACAAAAATAGTTTTATTAGATTTATTATATCAAATATTTTCAAAATATTATTTCATCTAATTAATATACAATATATATTTTATTTAATTATAGGCCAAAAGTTGAAAACAGTTGACTAAAAAAAGTCAAAACTGGACAAATACTCAGGGACGGAGGTGGTACCTCTCTATTTTTTACGTGGAGCAAGATATCATATATTGCTACTGCAGCTAGGGGAAATTCAAAAAGAAATTAGTGAAGAAGAGAAATGGGGAATATGCAGATAGCAACCAAGTTTGCTAGTGAAGAAGACGATACAATCAATTTTTATTCGATATTATAGTGTTTAATCATTTTTGTGCCATGTATGAAATTGTTTGGGCATACGGGTTAATGATAGCACTTATTTAATAAACACATGGACCGATAGTGCCAATTTGGAAAAACATAGGGGTTATTAATGCCAATAGCTCTTATAATTATCCATCAATCGAATAATTCTTTAAATAGTATTGTCTTTGAAAACAACAAAAACAACCCAGTTGAATCCCCTTGCACTGTCTTTGAAATAAAGAATAATTTCTTTTATCTGTGACGTATTCCAGGAACTGAAAGCACCTCCTAGAAGTGGAAAAGAAACTTGGAAAATAACTGAAAGCAGCTATAAAGACAGCAAGATTAAATTCAAATTTCAATGATCACTGTCATCACACTCAAACAAGAAGATGGAATAGTCATGACCTGAGAAAGTCTGAAAAGGCACAACTTTGGCTTCCCCTTCCTACTATACTTTATCAGTTGTGTACCTTTCTTCAAAGCAAGGAGCCCCTTCAAAGGTACATGCCAGAGAGAGAGAAAAAGAAGAACATAATCAGAGAAGTAACATAAGGTCAGATAGAGTGGAAGACAATGCACACACCAACAAGAATCATACAGGAAGAGTCCAATTCATTATGTAACAAAGTATATGCCCTGCAAGCATATTCTCTATGAAAACAGAAAAGTAGAAACCCCAAGATGCAACATGTGGCTTATTTATGCTTCAACAATTCTGAAATTGAGTTAAAGACAATGTTACTCCAACAAAATGCTCACCTTATTTGGTTGTGGAATCCAATTACATGGCTGGATACATAGTTCAATATGGTAAGGGAATTAAACAGAGTTTAATACATGCGTGTTTCAATGGTCATAAAGGCCATTGAAATTTGGAAGGTTTAGGCTACTATTCGAAATGTGTAAGGCAACAGAATACAAAGGTTTAGGCTACAATTCCCCTTGCGACATCTCAATAACAAATGTGTATAATTCGCATAGCAAAGTTGCACAACTTTCTAACTTCTATGTAAGAAGGCTCATATTCGATAGAACACGAATCTAGTTTTCTTACCATATATGCCGCGGCCCCGAGTAGCGCTCACAGAAATCGGAAATGAATCTATCATGGCTCCTTGAATTCCGGCCATGGATTTATCATTTACATCTAAATTAAGCCAGTTTTGAAGCTACGATAATGAAAAGAGAGAACATCTGAAGAAATCGGTTGCGGGAAGGAGAGAAACTTAGAAAAAGGAAAGGCGTTTTTCATGTTATCAGGAGATTTCAGCCATGGATTCATCGAAGAGGGAAAAAGCTTCGAATGGCGAAACGGAATGCGCCAGGGAAGAAGATGATTCTGGAAATGCGGGAATGTATGCCAACATGACAGGCCGGTCATCGGTTTTTTATTAACTAATCTTTTTAGAGCGGTCTGGTTTTTTTAAGTAGTACTCTTTATTTTAGAAATAAGAATTAAAATGCATTTACATTTCTAAACGTGGTCATGTATATTACCAAAAAAATATATTGATGTGCACGTGTATAGTATCATATTACCTCTACATTACCATAGTGTGAATTCATATTCCCAAAATAAAAACATGGAAGTCCTATTTTAGTACTTTTCTATATTTTTGTCTTATTTAAGATGATTTCTATGAAATGAATGCCAGAATGAGCTCCCTTGTTTTGACAACAAGAAGTATTGTCATAAGGAGAATTTTCTTAAATAGTATTCCATACTAAAACATAGTGACTTTCCTAATATAGTACCATGTATTTTTATTTTTCAATATAATACCACAGGTCATCGTTCGCTAGTCATTGTTTAAGTAAATGTCCACCGCCACTGGACGCAAACTAAATATCCATCATCATTGCATATTGTTCCCGTCACTAGATATTATTTAAATACTATTTAGTAAGTAGGGAGTAGCTAGTATATATGATGATGATGATGATGAGAAACCTGGTCATTGCCATAGCTAAAAAGATCTGCCATTCCATCTGAAACAATTGTTGGTTAGCCACATGCAGCAGTACACAGGAACCAGCAGGTAGAATTGAAGTCCAACCATGCATCAACCCAATGATCATCATATCATATCATGGATAATAACATGCATGTATGTGTGCATAAGTCTTCCCTAGCTAGCTAGCTTCACAAGTAGTTCTTCATTCAAACTCTCAAGTCTTTCCCTTTCCTACCATAATTGTACATACATATAAATATTAAAATGAAACCAAAAGTGCAATCATTTTTTAACTTCTTCCAATTTTTCTATCCACTTTCTTTCAATTCCTTATAATTTTTCCATTCTTCCAATGTGTTCAATTCCAACTCTTTTTAGTTTTCTTCTAGACCCTTCAAATTTCTTTCAATTCTGATCATTTCGATTTCTTCAACTCTTTCCAGTTTTTTCTATTTATTTTTATGGGATTCCTACTGGGTTGTTATTACTCTTTCTTTAACCAACTCTTAAAATAACATAATCATACCACATCTTGTTCTTCAAATTTTTATATAATTTTGAAATAATCCCGTCATCCCACAAAAAAATTCACTGTTTGACTTTCACCGAGTTCAAAAAAGTGTTGAATAATGAAAATCTAATGGTTAAAATTTATTTAGAGGAGAGATTATAAAGCTTGTGGGCCACTCACTCTTTTTTAAAAAAGAGAAATTGAAGTTTTTTTAAACGACCACAAGACAGGAAAGAATGCTATTTTATGGCACCGAAGAAGTATGTAAGTTTTACTTCTTAAAATGTACGCCAATATTCACTAAATTGAACTAAAAATAATATCGGTCAAATATTTTATAATAAAGTTTATTTAGGGACGGAAGAAGTACAATACTCTCTCCGTCCAAAAATCCATTTCTCCATTCTTTTCTTGTTTCAAAATCTCTCTCCTTTTTATTAAAACTCTACCTTTTCTATCCTAATTCTTATCCTATCTTTTCATATCATATACTCCCTCTGTCCCATGAAACATTGGATGTTTTGCTTTTTGAAGAGATTTAAGGGAGTGTATTTTGGTATTGAATTTTCAAAAATGTTCTTTGATGTGATGAGTAAAAGTATGATTTGATGGATAAATTATTAGTAAAAATGTATGATGTGATAGGTAGAGAATGAAAAAGTAAGAGGTAAAAGTGACTTTTTAATATAAATAAGAAGTGTTTTTTGGGACGAATGAAAAAAGAAAAGAGAAAAATTTTCTGGGACGGAGGGAGTATTAACTAATAATCTACTTATCATATTCTACTACTGATCACGCATATTCATACCAAGGGTTTTTTTAAACAATCAACACAAAAATATCTCCGACTTAAATTCATTAACATTCAAAACATGAAAGAGCAACAAATTTTGGGAGGAAGGGGATATGTTACAAGTATATATCAAGTCGTAATCATCATGCCAAAAATTAAAAATTTTGAATTCTTCAAGTAAGTGTCATTTTCCATGTCATTGCAATTTGTAAATACAGCAACAAATTTTGAAACCATGAATAATATGATCAAGCATGGTAATTATAAATTACTCCGTACAAATAAATCCAATTCAATAGGTTATTAAAATTAATTCCGGCATTCCAAAAACGATAATATTTAACCCCAAAAAAAAAGAATCAATACTATCCGATACAATGAATTAATAGTAAAATAAATGATTTAATTACTGACCTTATCCTGAAATAATATATATCTGAATTCGTTCTCCAGATTGATTACAGCGATAAATCGGACGCTAATTAAAAGGAATTGTGGTTTCGGCCGGTTAATCGAGAAATTAAAAGGGTCTACGGCACGGCAGAGCAGTTATGAAAAGAAAAAAAATGATGAATGAATATTGAAAATTAATTAGTTTTTTTTTTAGCAATTTCTGTCTCTTGATGATTTTATTTTTTTGGAGAATCGAATTCGCAGAAATTGTCGCATTCCTGCATGCATGTACGAAAACTAACTCCTTGAGATGAATTTTTGTTGTTTTGAATGATCAATTAAATAGTCAAAAAGAATGTTTGGAATTTGACTGTTGAGATTCGCCATTTGGGTCCGAAATGTCAAAATATGAAGAGTAGCCTTTTGCTCCTTTTATTTATACTTTTATGTAACTCTTTTGAATAAAACAAAAAATAATTATTTATTACATGAAGGAATTAACAAAAAAAGTATGGAGGGGTTTACGAGAAAAATAACTTTTCGATTTTTTGTTTACTTTTGAATTGGTGTAGATAAAAAATAATATCAAAATTCTTCAAAACAAAATATAATATGATTATAATATTTTAATAAATCATCAATATATAAAACACATAAATAAATAAATATTATTGTGACTTTGGAATAGCACTTTAAAATATAATTTGAGTAAAGAAGGAACACAAATAAATAAATACTCCCTCCATTCCAAAATCACACTTCAACTATTCAAAAGTTAAACAAACTCTATTTTTTATATATATTTTTATTAATCATTTGATAAAATGAAACGAAATTATCACCATTTATTTTGTAGATTGATGTAATTTTGTAATATATACTCCATAACTTTTACTTCTTAGATTCTACAACAATTTGTATTAATTTGAAGATAATTTCATTCAAACATCATAAATCAAACAAGAGATTTATTTTGAAACACAAAGGGACTAAGGAAGTATATATCATACTCAAACGGCTCGGTTCTTTTGACAACATTTGTTGTCATAATATGACAACAAGTACGGTGCTCCGTTCGAATAATTAATTATTTCTANATGATGTTTTATTTGACCACAATAATCAAAATAAAAATTTTATTTTCCTCGTATTGAAATTTTTGCGTCTAATTTACCCTTATTTTTTAGCACTCCGGGGTAATATTTTCGGTGCACCAAACAGACTGACAAGCTTTGGTTAATCGCAACGAACTCACTTTGAAACACAAGTCAAAAAAAATTGCACTATTCACTTTAAGTACGTGTGTAATCTGAAGAATAGGCCATTTTCCAAATTCCCAAAATGGGAAAGATGGGTAACAGACTGATATTATAAATTTTGAAGTTTTAAAGGCAAAAGAAACTATGAAAGGTACACAAAAGAGTCCCACGAAAAGGGTGTATAGGCAACCATTACCTTGCATTTTTGCAAGAGGAGGATTCTACATTCTAAGACTCAAACTCGTGAACTCAAGATCACACAAGAACACGACCTCCGAAACATGATGAAAAATAAAATTACATTCGGAGCAATTGAAATGCATTTATATTTTATATAACACCAAAGTGAGCATCAAGAGGACAACTCCAGAGAGAAATTTACTTCATAATTGTTGTGCAACCTTCTCGTATAGATCACGAGGCCAGTTCCTACCCAAATTGTTGGCAAGAAAGTTGGCAATCTGCAGAATATAAAAGTGTCAATTTTCCAGGTAAAGACCATTGGTTTTATATACACAGCGAGTAAAATGGATGAACCTTTGAGATATTATTAAAATAACAATAAACGACATAACCGATCCAAACAGACCGACTTCCAGAACATATTATATATACTGAATACAGTCTGTTTGAGACCGTCTCACCGTGAATCCGTGTGACAAGGTGATAAGTATGACCAAACTGTAATGATTTTTGAAAAGGTATCACGCAACTGATGGTAAAAAAAATTCTCCACATTACCGACCATGAGATGGTCTCAATGAGGTTTTTGTGATAAACATTTTTTTTATTTTGGAGTATCACAAGGATATGGGAAAAAACTATTTCACCAAACTATGTGGACACATTATATAATCATCCCTGTCTTAAAAAAAGTGTCTAAGCAAGGTACAACATTCATTTTTAGTCAGCTCAATAAAGCTAAAAGGGTATACTCGGTATATGGTATGACCGATCAATGAAAACCTAAGACTCAATTCCAAGATTGTTTGGAGCAATTGACTAAGAGCTTGTTCTCCTCAACTTATTCTTATTACTTATTACTTATTTTTATTTGAACCATCCAGGTCAGAAACAGCTTTAAATATAACTACAATTAGATTAGACTAGATCAGATCAAAACTTTTTCCAATCTGATAAGAACCAATCAGATCAAGTGAAGAGAGCAAGCCCTAAGGGCTAAGACTGATTACAACTTGGCTCTACATGAATTGTATTCCAAATGAAAGCTTATTTTTGAACCAGACACAGTTTTTAGACAAAAAAAAGTTCTTGAAAATGACTCTGAGTGACAGGGGTAAGAGGGAGTAATGAAATGCTCCGTGTAAAGAAGTACTGAAATTCACGTTTTACCTTTTCCCTTAAAGCGCGTAAGGATCCATCTGTATCTCGAACGTTCTCCAGACAGTGAAGAGCAACCTTGAGAAGGTCGGGAACACATGCTTGGACATTGGGAGACAAATTCTGGAAGACATCAGTAGCAATGCCCGGTGTCCTTGGATCTAGAGGAAGAAACGGTAGTTTTGCAACCTCCTTAAGAGCATCCAAATGACTTCCAAGTCTTGCTAACTTATGAATGGACAGGACGGCTTCAAGCTGTCGCAACACAGTTTGCTGTTCCAAAGCCATTTCTCTCTCTTGAGAGCTGAGAGAAACAAATAGAATGAGATGGCATTGCTTTAGCAGTACATAGATAATATGTAAAACAACCTCTATAAAGATAAATTAGGTATACTCACCCCAAAAGGATCCTCATGATAATGAGGTTTATTTCACACATATATACTTAGACTCCAACATATACAAACTCATTGCCTCAGCCAAAACCAAATTGGACAAAAGAATGGGTGAACAAATGAGCCCAAACCAACCCAAATCAGCTGCCCCAGAAAATAGTGGACAGCACCCAGATACCACTATAAAACTAGTCTCTTATTAAATTGGGCTTAAATGATCACTAAAGGATGAGGTTTACCCACATCAGAACACTAATACCGAGTATACTAGACTTGAACCCGGTAGACAACTGATGCCAGATACTCAAGTACTAGGTCATTACCAAAATAAAATTACTCGTGAGGTGTAAGTATGCTCTAAAAACGCTAAAAGTGTGACAGAACTCGGCCAACCAGGGAAAGGAAGGATTAGGTGGCATCAATATGGGAAAAACGTAGTCGGCCAATAGAATCCTAGCACCGAGGTCTGGATATGAAGAACAAAGAATGCAACATACATTCACACGCCTGTTAATAAAACACGTGACAAAAAATCTGTATGAACATTGAAGTCTTAAGCACAATGAATTTTTATGTTACCTTATATCAGGATAATATTTGAAAGTCTCCAAGATCTCATTCCCAGAATGAATGAGTGCAGAAGTTTGGCTCTCCCCTTCTAACCTTCCACGTGATAGAGCACATATCGCATCGGATAAGCACTTATTCACTGTATCTAGTGCTGCTGAGAATGCACCCACTCTCTTCTGAATCTCTATACACTAAAATCACCACAATAACAATGGATGATCACAGCAAGAAAACACCGATAACCCATGTGCATTGATTGAGCAAGAGGAGATACAGAGATGGACTAAAGTCAAAGAATAGCAACGTTCTCCACTTATTATTAGAGAAGAAGCAAAAGAAAAAACAGAAACAAATGCAGGATTGAGTTAAAAACCACTGCTGCTGTTACAGCACAAACAACCATAAAAATATACAGTTCTTTCTATCTCAATACTCTTTTAACACATGCTGAAACTTTTTGGGCTATCACCAAAACTCTGTAGGAAAGCAATAAGTTTCAATGGCAGACATTTGAACAAGGGTACCTCTAAACTCAGGAATGCTACTACCAATTAAAATGCTAAGTACATGAAAAGCGACAAATTTATCCACCCTAATATATTATAAAGGCTATTACATGGGTGAGGCATCATAACAATTAACAAGAAAAGAAAAATAGAACCACATTAATTCAACAGAATAAAACATATTAACATGACGAAGTAATATATTTATGAAGGGTGTGTTTGGATCTTGGAAAATACTAAAGAAAGAAAATAAATTGCTAAGGAAATTTATTTTCTTACGTTTGGGGTTACTTTTGAAATTAAATATACAACAGCAACAACCCAGTTGAATCCCGTGGAGAGTAGGGTCAGGGGAGGGTATGTGTACCCCGTTGCAGAGATGCGTGAGGCTTTCGATACTTGGTGGGTTTGGGGGTAGGGGTAGACCTAGGAAGAACGGGAAGGAGGTGGTTAGGCAAGACTTAGGACACCTGGCTCTTACCAAGGACATGGCCTTAGATAGGGACGTCTGGAGATCTAGGATTAGGGTAGTTGGGTAGTCGTTTAGTCTAGGGTGTTAGTTTTGTTCCTGTTGTGTGTTGCGTTGGCTTGACGTGTTTCTTCTTTCAGTTTTCTATGTACCTTATGCCTTATCATTTTTTCTCAGACCCTGCTTTGGTGGGATTCTATTGGGTTGTTGTTGTATATTTAGATTTCTTTGTCTTTAATCTTAATATAATAGAACGAAATGAATAAAATGAGTTTGAACAGTTATTTAAAACAGATCTATGGACTTTGAATCTTTCTTTTACTTTGCCTCAAATTTTCTTTCATTATGATTTTCATTTCTATTTCAAAAGGGCCCTAAATCTGATGATATCTATACTTTCATTAAACAGATTATGAATACTAGACATGAATAAATTAACCAAGTTGAAAGGATGAGTGTAAGTGAGGAGGAAAAAAACTATTTACTTTGTCATAAAGTCCGGCATCCTGACAGTGGCGAGCAGCTTCATGTAGAAAGGATTGTCTGGTCTTTCTATCTGTCAAAAATATTCCAAGCTGACCTTCATCGCCATCACCTCTTGATCCAAGTAAAAGGTAGATACCGCCATCCCGAAGTAAGAGTTCTATGAGAAGTTGTTTCAACATCAAATTTCTCTGCCTTTGTTGGTCCACATTTGCCCTTCCAGACCATGACAGCTGTCCACCACCAACTGCTGCAGAGGCTTGTACATAATATTCTAATGCCGCTGACAGGTCACTGTGGCGAAGATATAAAGACCCATACTGCCTAATTATGCTAGACACTTCAGCAAAAGCATCCATAACCCCAACCGTTTGCCCTGCTTCAGAAAGGACCCCATGATCTGCAAACACTACAGAAATATGGACAGCATCCACATTATACCCTTCATCTCCCATATCTTTGGATAAATACAAGACTGCTGGAAGCAATTGGATGCTTAGAAGCAAAACATATGGATAAACCAGAGGATCCTTTCCATTCTTAGTATAATGTGATGGCTCAAACTTGTTTAAATAAGCTTGCAAATCGTCGAGACTATAAGGGGACAACCCCTCATTCAGGACATCAAGTCTGCCTGGACTCTCACGGACAACAGATAAAGTGAACCACAAGAAATCCTCAATAGTATTGAAGAGAGTAGGCAGTTCCCTAAGCAGCCTGTCAATCTGCCTACGTGAACCAGACACTATTGCATAGAGCAGCAACTTTTTCTTATCATATGAAGTCCGACCAATTCGATCACCCAACCTTAAAATTTTTTCACATTCTTCTGAAGCAGCAGCCGCAGTCTCTGTCGATACCTGACCTCCTGTGGAGATCCACTCTCTCAGCTGCAACAGAAAGAAATTATTATTATTATGCATGAAGACAAATGTGTTCATCGCCAATTGAGCTAAAAGAATCATTTTCTGACAATGTCTAGCTTTGGGAAAATAATGTACTAAATCAAATGGCAAATTAAATTCTTGTGTATGGGACCCATCAAACCCCGAGCCATTATCAACACATACTATTCTATATTTCCTAGACCTCAATCATGACTATTGACTAGCACATCATAAATTACCATATTTTCTTACCTAAATAAACTGAATAAAGTCTCTGTGATATTTATACTCTCATGGACGAAAATCTTTGCTAGAATGGAGCTAGCATGCTCTTTTGGAACCTAGCTCATTATATGAAAGTTAGTCACTATTCGCTCTTAGAATCTAGTGCATGGATTATTGCCAAATCAATTATCCCTTTAAAGCATAGCCGGTTGAGAAATTCATCAGGAAGGATGTGTTTGATAACATGAATGGATGGTATACATGGAAGATGTATATCTATATTAATGGATAACATGAATGTGCTTGGCCAAAATTTCCCTCACAGATAGCAGAGCAATATATTTCAAGACTCAGGCTTTTGTACTTTGGCAGAACCTTCCTAAGGAGGTAAAATACTTTGTCATTCAATGAATATAGTGAAATGTTCTTCTATTTTTCTTTTTCTTGTTTAGTTCATGTGAAGGGATGAAGCCTTGTATCATCATCATTATGGTTATTATCATTATTATTATTGTTGTTATTGTTGTTGTTGTTGTTACTATTATTATTATTATTACACAACGGTTCTTTTGACCCGTGCTTTTTTACCTTGGAATGACCCGAGGCCTCTACGGTGCTCCGTTGAAACCACCAATTTTACCAACGGGTAGGAACCATCAATTTTACCAACGGAGTACTATATGTGCCCCAAAATGCCAAGGTCATTTAAAGTCGCTTTTAGCCAAGGACAAAAGATCCTTGCCGTTATTATTATTATTTCTCTCCAATCATTACCATTTTTCCGTGTACCCTTATTTAAGATCCTTAATTATTTGAATGACAAACACTATGAATGAAGTTTTTTTCCTTAAAATTACAGTGTAATTTTTCAACCCAAGTGTGAAGTGAGAGCTTGTTTTTTTTCAACCTATTCTTTATACTTATTACTTTTTCTTATTAGAATCAGATCAGACCAAATCATACACACCAGCCAGATCAGATGAGAAACAGCTTTAAATATAACTATAATCACATCCAAACCAAATCGGACCCTAATAAAATCAGATCTGATCCAATCAGCTGAGACGAAGAGAACAAGCTCTTTGGTCCAACAGTTTCCTTTTATCTCTTATCTTGGCATTTTGCAAGTAAGAGTGTACTATTAGTCTATTATTATTTCACAATAGTGAATATTGAAGGATTGAACATGTCAGGGCCTTAAGATGATTCTCAAAGTGTGTTATATCTCTTATAATCAACTTGGATTATCCCTTATCCAAAAATCCTAAAGAATACTCTTTAGTAATCCCAAATTTTGATTAGACCCTCTGAAAAATACAACGTTAATAGCCTCTAGTTTTTTAAGAGGGTAAGTTGCATCCACCCTGTTGACCCCCTCCCCCCAAAAAAAAAAAAAGAACCCAACAAAATTGGGATTATACTAGGTTTGTTGTCGTATATTTATGAGGAAGAAGGTCATACCAAAACAGCAAACTGCTGAGATGCACGTGATTGTTGAGCAACCTCTCTTGCTTCATCATAATATCCCGTTCTCAAGCAAAAATAAATCTATTTCAATATAGCATAGAAACAAGTGAGAATTGAGAAATACCATGAGAACAAAAATTAACTAATAAGAAAAACATAAGCTTGGCACACAAGTTACTCATTTGCTAGGCAGCTCCGGCGGTGGCAAAAGAGTGTACGGGAGTGAAGTAAAGTAGATGAAACTAAATTAGTTTAAAGATAATTAATCAGCTTCAATTCAGGGAACTAAAAGTAGAGCTCAACAATCAGACTGTTGGCATTTCCTATTCACTTCAGATAAGTACACGAGTACTCGACAAAGAAAAAAGTAATCAAAGCTGATTATTAGGAAATTACCAAAGGGGAAAAAAGAAACCAAAAAAGTGTTTAATTCAACTAACCGCATTTAGAGACACACATATTCAACAAGTATGGCATGACAAAAGGAGAAAAAAACACAGAACAAGGCTAACATCTATGTTGCCCCATATTAGGAAAAAGAGCATGGGGAAACACCATTTTTAAATCAAAATAGTTGTAAAAAGGGTTTCTCAAGAGTTTCCTAACACTATGTTTGGTTCGTGGAGTTCGGAAGGAAAAGAAAAGAAAGAGGGTTTCGCTCCTGTTCCTCACCAAAATGGGAGGAAATTTGTTTTCCCTTTTTTTTAGTTTATCCTCTCCTCTCATTTTGTTTTCCTTCTACTTTTCTTTTCTTTCTTTCTCGAACCAAACAAGAAAAAATGATTTCCATACCATTTTTTATCTTTCCTTTAAAATTGCTTGGTACAAACATAGTGTAAAGGTTTCTAAAATATATCAAAAATGGGGTAAATTTCACAAATGGTACCTGAACTTTAGCTGGAATTTCGAAGTGGTACCTGAACTTCAAATCCTTTCACAAAAATCCCTGAACTTACACAATCCTTTCACTAATGAGCCATTAGCCCGTTTCTAGGTTAACTTCCGGTCATTAGGGCCAAATTCGAATTTTATATATTTTAAAATTTTCAATTTGACCCCATTTCTTCTTTTCTTTTCTTCCACGCCCCGCCGCCGCCGCCCGCCGG